TGTCTATTTAGGACATCTCATGGTTATGCTGCTTTAAGGTGATTACAGCTCAAGATTCAGCGCATTATGCTGGGATGTGCAGGTAGGACTGCTTCAGAGATCCACTTCTTAACTGAGGCGGTGATCATCTCACTCTCCTCCAGCTGCATAGGTTCTCTCTCTCTCCCTCTCTCTCTTAATGGATTTGAGGAACAGTTGGAACATGAAATTGCCATTCCTACCTTTCTCCTTGAGTTTGTCTTCCTATGTCTATGCCCCATTCACATGGTAATCTCCTACATTGATACCTTAGTTTTAATGAAAGCTTTTTGTTTTAGACTAATACATTTTTTTTTTTTTGCCATGATGAGATGATTGCTCTTCCTTGGTGATATGACTGTTAACATTCCTAGGAGGCTTAGTTTTAAAGGGGTCAGGAGGATTAATGATTATGGGTGTTTAAGTGATAGATGCAAAAAGCCTTCCATGGGTTCTTCACTCTGAGTGTCTGAGAAATTACTGTGGTCCGTGTTTCCTGTAAAAGGAGATCCAGTGGAATGAGCTCTCAAAATCCCTGTTCTTCATGACTTTGCTATTCATCCAGTACTCCCAATAGGCTAACCCTGCACGAGTCAAAATTCCAAATATCAGATGCAGCATACTCCACAGCTTTTCTTTTCACTTTGGAGTTATTGTCAGATTTTGAGGTAGCAAGAAACAAAATGGTCACTAACCACACACAAATGCCACATGAATGTATTAGTTTCCTGTATAAAAATAGAGAAAAAAAGCAAATTTTGGGTTTTTCTGTTTGTTTCTAGAATTTATCCTTTGTGTATTTATTTAAACACTTTGCAGCCTGATCCCATCCCCCTCCCTCCTACCCTCCCAGTCCCACTCTCATGCTCCCTCTGCCCTCCCCCTGACCTTATCTAGAAGAAGCAGAGGCCTCCAAGGTCACAACCCACCCTAGCATCTCAGGTAACAGTAGGAACAAGTATATCCTCTTCCACTGGAGCCTGACAAGGCAGCCCAGCTAGAGGAAAGGGATCCAAAGGCAGGCAACAGAGTCAGAAACGGCCTCTACTCCCATCGTTAGGGGACCCACAAGTTGACCAGGCTGCACATCAGATACGTACACAGGGGGTCTAGGCCCAGCCCATGCGTGCTCTTTGATTGCTGGTTCAGTCTCTGTGAGCCCCTATGGGCCCAGGTTAGTTGATTCTGTATGTGTTTTTATGGTGTCCTTGACCCCTCCAAATCCCTCTATCCTTCCTCCTATTCTTCCACAAGACTCCGCAAGCTCAGCTTATTGTTTGACTGTGGGTCTCTGCATTTGCTTCCATCAGCTGCTAAATGAAGCCTCTCAAAACAAACAAACAAACAACTACAACAACCACAACAATAAAAAAATTATGGTAGTGTCCTGTCTGCAAGCATGGCAGAGTATCATTAATAGTGACAGGGGTTGGCTCTCTCCCATAGAGTGGGTCCCAAGTAGGGCTATTCATTAGCTTGCCATTTTTTCAATCTTTGCTCCATCTTTATCCTTACACTTCTTGCGTGAAAGACAAATTTTAGGTCCAAGGTTATATGCAATTTTGTACATGTAAAGAGAAGTGCAGAAAGAATCAAAGAGGAAAATAAAGTGAATACACATTTTAGTTTTATTTTTTTCCTCTACCCAATTCAGGAACAAATAGACATAGTTTAAGAAAAATGATTTCCAATTATTCAACTTGTTTCTCAAATGATATCTTCATTTTGAATTAGAAATTTTACATTCTTCACGTCTTGATTTTTAACTACATTTTGAAAGTTCAAGGTTTAGGTTCAATCTCAGTGTTAAATTTTACTTACTTATGTCTGGTTAATCCACAACAACGTTTAACACAGGCTTCTTTCCTATCTTTGGATTTTTACACTTTTTAAAAATTCTTTATTAATTACACTTTATTCACTTTGTATCCCCCCTGTGGTTCCCTCCCTCCTCCCCTCCCAAACCTTTCTCCCCTCTGCACGCATGCCCCTCCCCAAGTCCACTGATAGGGGAGGTCTTCTTTTCCTTTCTTCTGATCCTAGTCTATCAGATCTCATCAGGAGTGGCTGCATTGTCTTCTTCTGTGGCCTGATAAGGCTGTTCCCCCCTCAGGGGGAGGTGATTAAAGAGCAGGCCAATCAGTTCATGTCAGAGATAGTCCCTGTTCCTATTACTATGGAACCCACTTGGACACTGAACTGCGATGGACTACATCTGTGCAGGGGTCTTAGGTTATCTCCATGCATGGTCCTTGGTTGGAGTATCAGTCTCAGGAAAGACCCCTGTGCTCAGATTTTTTGGTTCTGTTGCTCTCCTTGTGGAGTTCCTGTCTTCTCCAGAACTTACTGTTTCCCACTTCTTTCATAGGATTCCCTGCACTCTGCCCAAAGGTTTCCGTAAGTCTCAGCATCTGTATTGATAGCCTGTAGGGCAGATTCTTTCAGAGGCCCTCTATGGCAGGCTCCTGATTTGTTCCCTCTTTTCCCCTTCTGATGTCCATCTTCTTTTTCTTACAGGATGGGGATTGAGCGTTTTAGCCAGAGTCCTCCTTCTTGATTAGTTTCTTTAGATGTACAGATTTTAGTAGGTTTATCCTATATTATATGTCTATATGAGTGAGTATATACAATGTCTGTCTTTTTGCTTCTGGGATAGCTCACTCAGGATGATCTTTTCCAGTTCCCACCATTTGCCTGCAAATTTCGTGATTTCCTTGTCTTTTATTGCTGAGTAATTTTCCATTGTGTAGATGTACCACAATTTCTGTATCCATTCCTCCACTGAGGGGCATCTGGGCTGTTTCCAGATTCTGGCTATTACAAATAAAGCTGATAAAAATATGTTTGAGCTAATGTCCTTATTGTGTACTTGAGACTCTTTTGGGTATATGCTTAGGAGTGGTGTAACTGGGTCTTGGGTAAGCGCTATTCCTAGTTGTCTGAGGAAGTGCCAGATTGATTTTTTTTGTATATTTTCAAGCTTATAATTGTATTTACAACGTTTCTTCCTTCCCTTTCCTCCCTCTAAACACTCCCATATACCCCACCCCCATTTCCTTAAAATCCATGATCTCTTTTTTCACTAATTGTTATTGCATGTGTGTATGTATTCATATATAAATATACTTCTAAATGCAGCCAGCTGTGTTCATATGATGTTACTAGTGTGTATGTTTGCACACAGAATAACTGTTTTGCTATTCTTTAGGGAGGATGACATCTCCCTCTCAGCTTTCGTTAGTTGGCTGTCTTTGTTTTTATAGGGTTTAGGCCTTCTGGTCATTTCTCCATCTTGTTTGGCATGTTCATTGGTGCCATCCTTATTTAGCTCATGTTTGGGCAGTCATGTTGGTGAGATTTAATGAGTTTAGCTTCTGATGTTACTGTTTGCTGTGAGACACAATCTCAGAGCAAAGTACCCAATCCTCTGGCTACTATAGTCTTTCTCTGACGTATATTTTGTAGATAAGTTTATTGAGACTGGACTCCACAACTGTGTGTTTTGATTGGCTGTGAGTTTTTACAGTGGGTCCCACGTGTTGCAAAGAGTCATTTCCTTGATGAAGAGTGAAGACACCACTTACCTGTGGGTCTAAGGACAAATATTGAGGTTGTTGTCAGGAATTATGCTGGTTTAGTAAATTAGCTGTTGTATATTCTCTACCACTCGTCATGGCTTCACTAGCACTGAGAAGTTAGTGAGGTTGCAATACCAGGCATGATCTCCCTCTTTTAAAGTATGTCTCAAGTTACATTACAGAGACGTTGCATTCTTTTTCTAAGAGTCAATGGGAACTCCTGAGCAACTGTCAAGCTCAGATTCCATGAGCTTTGCAATGTTGGATTTCAGTGCAAGTTACTTCTTCCGTGCTGTGCTCCTGTAACACGAGGTAGCAAAAATGACCTCCTCTCAAGCAAGGGAATTGGTACACACCTTCTCTCGATTATATTATTGGCTACACACTTTCTTCTCCTCTACACTATCTTGACATACATCAGTGTTTGGAGCATCCAAGCATATACCTAAGAAATTAACCACACTTTACATTTAATTTATAACTCAGTTGTTACTCCCACTGACCTCATCATCTTTCTTGTATCAACGGTAGGAAATTAGGAGAAAAATAAATGTCTTCATCTCACTTCTTTGTAACACTTTTCAAGTCGGTACTGGCTTCATAGAGAGAGGTTTAAAATCTATTGTACATCACAGTGTTATTTGCTTTAGTGAGAGAAGCTCTTTTATAAAAAGGTTAATATTAAGCAAATCATCACAACAGGAGTATCAGTTGCTACCTTAAATCAAAACCATAGTTCTGAACATAAAGTTTCGTATAGGGTCTAGGATATACTACTCTGGCAATGTGAGCTAGTGTAGACATAAATTATAAAAATCGCATAAAATAAATGAGCTAGGTGCCTCAAACTCATTCCCAAGTGTGTCATTTTTTGTGGAAAGGTTAATTTACTGCCGCACTATATGCATTAATTTAGCTTTTATTCTCTTAAAACATTTTAAAGCAATAATGGAGAAATGATCAGTATGCAGAATCCGAAGTGCATCGCCTCTCACAGAGTCTAAAATTTAAAATGTGGAGATGAAATGAGCCAAAATTTGATCTTGCTATGAGTAAGTGTAAAGAGAAATATTCATCAATGATGAAAATCCACAAGAATATCTGTAACATTGGGATTATTTTCCTAAAAGAAATGCAGAAACAAACAAACAAAAAAACCATATATCTACCCAGAGGCAGCCAATGCTTTGTCCTCCACATGGCCTTGCTGGCGTTCATTAAGAACCACCCTATCAAGCTGGATAGATATTTCTTGAAATGATGCATGGTTTGCCGAGCATGCCTTCATTGTGCTTCCTGCCATTACGGAATAACGTGTCTTATTGGGAGAGACAGTGATTATTTCTGTGGAATCTTGCTCAGTCAGCTCCCATATTAACACTGATATTTTGTGAATCATTCCAGATTTCAGAGAGCTACGCCTTCCTACCAAGAGAAGCGGTGACACGGTTTCTAATGAGCTGTTCCGAGTGCCAGAAAAGAATGCACTTGAACCCAGACGGAACCGATCACAAAGGTAGCCACAGTGCCCAATAGTGAGATCTGAAGATTCTTCATAATATCAATTTGTGTCTTGTACTTTGTAGAAATGTGGAAAATTGAAGCGGTTTAGCAGTTCATAACATCTCGATTCAAGTGGGGAGCAGTGAATTCTGAATACACGCTTACACAGTAACTCAGGAGTCACTCCTAGAAGGCAGGGCCAACTGTATAAGTATCGTTTAAAAATATATACGTATATATGTGTATATATATATATATATACATACATATTTAATTAATATACAAATGTTTTAATTTCCATCAGGGTAGTATTTCATGGTATTTTTAGATATACTTAGCAAGAAGATTCATCACTGTAAATAACCTTTCAAGCCTATAGAATCCTTATTTCCAGAAATCATAGATTAGATGGAATGCCTTCAATTAAAAATTTTTATAAGCATAATTTGGCTTTACCATTCATTGAAATTTTACAGGTAATTTTCTTAAGCATTAAGTTCTCTCAAGAATTAGATTAATCTCATAGGCACATTTAAAATCCTCCCATGGGTTGGAAGATAGGTAACCCGGATACTAAAATTAAAGAAAAATTAAAAGCTATTTTCTTTTGGCTCCCTCTAATTTATATATAAAACAACTATGCAATGAAAGGTTTATCAGTGCCTAACCAGCAAATGAGTTTTCTTCTTTGTTACTCAGGATATTCAAAAGTCAATTTATAATAAGAAATAGTGGATCTGTACGTTCTGTTCAATTGTGCCGACGCAGATTGTGGAAATTTGCATGTTCTATTTTATGCAGTTCATCTACAGTGGTTTCATGGTTTTCAATCATTAGCGACAAGGAGACTATCTTTTAATTCGACACACCGACTCAGCCTGAAGGGGCAGCCATAACCCAGTGTTGCATTCATCGCGGATTTAAACCTTTCTGTTGCAGATAATGGGAAGCCTCCTACACTGGTGACCAGCATGATCGACTACAACATGCCAATCACCATGGCATACATGAAGCACATGAAACTGCAGCTGCTAAACTCCCAGCAAGATGAGGTAAACCGGAAACAGCTATGTTTGCATCACCCACAAATAAGAACAAAGCTGCAGACCCATGGCTGTGGGTTAAGCATGGTGCCACTTGAAGGCTGTATGCTTACATTGTTAATTGAAATAAAGCTTGCCAGGAACTAATTGATTTGGAAATGGAGTAAAGGCACCACATCCTGATGCAGAGTCCCTGGATAAATCTATTTTCCTTGGTGTTATGCGAGAAATATTTCTTTTCCTTGCTAAATTGCCACTGAGGCAGTCTTGGCAAGTAGCAAGAAAGTCCTGAGCATCCCTACCCAGAGAGAGTCCAAGGATAGGGAACCTCTGAAACTATCTTCAGAGAAGAAACTGGTAAACCCTATTAGTTGCATCTATATCTTTTAAGTCTTTTTAAAACATTACGATTTAATCACCTGTGTTCACATATCTGCATTTTGAGAAAAAATTTGTCACAATTCTTTTTAATTACAGGTGTCTTCATGTTTCAGATTATTATATTTCGTTTGAATTTAAGAATGTGCTGTCATATTTCACACAGCAGATGTGTGTTTATTGATATTCTCTAGGAATGCAGTTCCCACTTTTGGTAAAAAAAATTTAAGTTTTGGTGTCTATACATCTGTATGTCTGTGTGTCTGTGTGTCTCTCTGTGTGAATGTGTGTGAGTTTGCATTTGTGTCTTTGTGTGTTTGTATATGTGTACATACATGTGTGTTTATGTTTTTGTGAGCCTGTACATGTATGTGTACCGTGAGTTTGCATTTGTGTATGTGTATATGTATGTTTGTGAATGTGTGTGCATGTGTGTCTGTGTTTGTGAGTTTACATGTATGTCTCTGTGTTGTGTCTATGTATGTGTGTGTGAGTGTGTACATGTGTGTAGGCTATTTGTATGTTCTTTGAGGAAACAAAGACAACCAGCACACTGTAGGAGTTCAGTAAGCCCTCATCAACTAGTCATCTGCCACTAACAAGCAGACATATTCATATGATCTGTGCTGGAGACAGACCATTAGGCTAATAAGATCCTTCCTTGAATTTTCTTTGTAACAGGAAATGTGGTTAGATACTTACTTTTAAAATACTAGATTATTTGTAAAAAATAATCCAAGCTTATTAAAATTAACTTTTGGATACCTTATTTGTAAAATTTAAATCTTTTTGTGTTTCTCTGTACTTGACCAAGTTTTAATCTTGAAACTATAACTTTGTTTTACTGCAGTCAATTTTATATGGGGTTCACTCACTTAAGAATATATTTGTAAAGTGGTCGTATTGCATTAGGTATTACCATATAGCTAACAATGAATGATTGAATTAACTATAAAAAAGTCACTATACTAGAGACCGCAGAGCAGGATTTTTTAAATGTGTCTGTTCCTAAGAATGAAACTACTGATGCCATGATCACGACAGAATTGAAAAAAAAAACAAAAACAAAAACAAAAAACGTCTCATAGAAAAGTTAAAGCTGGTTATATCCATGTATGGTCTTTGTTTGGAGAATCAGTCTCAAACCCTTGCTCAGACATAGCCCATGGCAGCTCAGTACCCAAGTGGGTTTCCCTAGTAATGGGAATAGAGACTGTCTTTGACATGAACTCAGTGGCAGGCACTTTCACCACCACCACCACCACCACCCCCCGAGGAAGGAGCAGCCTTGCTAGGCCACAGAGGAGGACATTGCAGCCAGTCATGATAAGATCTGATAAACTAGGGTCAGATGGAAGGGGAGGAGGACCTTCCTTATCAGTGGACTTGGAGAGGGGCAAGGAGGAGATGAGGGAGAGAGGGTGAGATTGGGAGGGAATGATGGAGGGGGCTACAACTGGGATACAAAGTAAAAAAACTATAATTAATATAAAAAATTAAAAAAGAAAAGTTAATGCTGTTAAATTACTTGTAAAAGCTAAGTTAGAGGTAATAGGTTTATTTATATCCCTTGATTATAATCAGCTTCGTGCCTATCACACAGGCTATTTATTCTGAGTCCTTCTGGATCTAAAGCATCATACATGTTTTGAACTAAAAAGCAGAGCTTTTACAAATTATAATTAGGGAAATTATCCTTATCATCACAGTTTGAATTTATTAAATTGGATGCATACTGTTTTAAAATATTCAAAGAAATTACTTGTTAGAGTATTTACAAAAATTTAGACAAATGTAACTATTACAGATTTAGGAAATTGGATAACATAAGCATACTGAACTGAAATTCAGATTAGGCAAATCTTGATTATAAGTTGTATTTAAATTTAAATAAGAATTAATCCAGTAAATTCACCAAAATTTATTGAGTACCTTTTACGTACTCTTAGAAGTAATTTAACAAAAAATCCTGTATTTATGAAGCATGTCTTTCAGCGAGAGGAAAAGAATATAATCAGTAAGAGTAGGCAAGTAAAAAGATGCTAAACTCTGTTAAAAGAAGAAAGGAATCTCAAAAAGGAATCCATTCAAAATGCAAAACAGTCACACTACTCACCTGCAAATGATGTCCTGGGTTTAATGACAAGTACCCTAAAAGTGAATAAATGAATGAATGGAGGAATAAAGAGATGCAAGGCATCATTTGAGCAAAGTTAAAAGAAATGAAGTTTGCTCTTAGTTACTTTCTATTGCTGTGATAAAACATCTTGACCAAGGCAACTTATGGAAGGAATTCTTTTTGTCTTGCAGTTCCATAAGATAAGTATCTATGAGGGAAGAGTGAGTGAAGGAAAGGGCAGGAGGCTGAGGGCTTCCATTTTGAACTGCAAGCATGAAGCAGAGAGTGCAGTAGGAATGGCATGTGACTTTGAAACCTAAAAGTTTGCCCCCCAGTTACATACTTCCACCTGCATGGTCACACCTCCTAAACCTATCAGAACAGTGTCACCAACTGGAAGCTAGGTGTTCAAACGGCTGAGTCTATGGAAGACATTCTGATACAAACCATACAAACCACCACATTCTACTTCTTGGCTCCCATAGTCTGTGCTGATATCGTAATGTAAAATGCATCTAACCTAACACTGGGGCGGGGTGTGAGAGGTGATGAGGGAGAGAGGGTGGGATTGGGAGGAGACAAGGGAGAAGGGCTACAGCTGTGATAAAAGTGAATAAACTGTTAATTAATAAAAATAAATGAATTTTTAAAAGTCTCTATGGTTTTATTTAGTCTCAAGACTGCTTGAAAGTCCTAAGTCTCTTCTGATACTCAATGCAATCTCTCAACTGTAAGCTCCTGTAAAAAAAAAAAAAAAAAAAAAAAAAAAAAAAAGCTAATTACATACTTCCAACCTAAAGATACAGAATATAGATTCCCAGAAGGGAGGAATCTGCCCATAGTGACAAAATACTGGACCAAAGCAAGACTAGAACTTAGCAGGTAACATACTAAATCCTATAGTTCCATGTCCAATGTTGAAGGACTTAAATGGCTCTCTCCTTCCAGCTTGCTGGGTGCAACATATTTTTTGTCTTTGGACTGGAAGAGCTGGCTTTAGAGTGTACCACAGACAAGACGTCTCAGAGAGTGGGAGGTGAATGATGATCAAGCCTGTAGGAATATCCGTCTCTTTTCTCCAAGTTCCTTAGTGGTAGAGGTAGCCAGAGTAAGGTTGTTGGAGAAGTTTTCAGAGGATTAAGAAGATAGTGGAGAAGTTGAAATTTCCATGTCAGGGTACGAGGACATTTGATTCATGATCTGATATATTTATAAAATAATTTAGATAATTGCTCATAATTGTGTGTATTTGTGTGGGAGCATGGGTAGATAAGGGAAAACTGTAACCAGTTATTTAAGTGTTATAAAAGGTAGCTTCAGCTACATTATGGAAACCAAGGTCATTGTAGAGGTGATTGGCAAAGGTGGATCACCAAAAAGATTTTATGAAAATTAGTCATAAACTTCAGTGTAATGTGAAGTTATTTGGAAATTTACAGGGAGTGGTATACAAAGGTTGAGATGACATAGAAATTGGGATTAACAAATAGATGCTTCCAATCTAATGGTCACACAGATAATCTTGGTTAAACTGTGGGTCACAAAATCATGAAGGTTGAAAAGGATATGATGAGGGTATTATATGGATGGGGAGGGTATAAGAGAAGGTGGCAAGAAAGTATTATATACAAGAATGAAGTTCTCAGTCAACAAAATTAGTAAAAAATTTAGAAAAAGAGATTATCGAGTTTTAGTTGTTGGTAGTGAATATGTAGTAAGTGGTTATGGAAGGAACCCGATATTAAAGGTTGGAGAGTAAGATTATTTGATGCCATCAAGGAAGTCAAGATAGAGTAACTGAAATAGCCATGGCTTCTGCATGAGCACTCTTAGAGTACAATGACATCTTTAAAAAGTCAGAGGAAAAGTTCTGTGCTACAGACAGAAGCAAGGTTGCCACAGGCAAAGGGTAGGGCTCTTTGCTGTAGTTTTGTTATAATTTTATGAAAGGACCCATACATTAAAATGCAAGCCTTGCATAAGCGATAGCAAGGAATCTGTTCTATAGACTTCGTCTCTACCATCTAGTGTAATACTTGCAATTGGATCCCATTTCATTACCGTCATGCACATGGGAAACCCAGGCTTTTCACTAACAAACCAGATAAGCTGCTTACGCCCAAGTTTATCTGATATTAGAGCCCAACGCCTGCCTCCTTCATAACACGTGTTTTAATTATTAATGTTTATTGAAAACAGTTGATATAAGATACGATCTAGAATAGAGGTGAAACAGGTAGGTAAATTTTAGGGACCTATTTCTGTATATAATCCTCATAAGTTAGTGAATTAACACAATTCGTCATTTTTTATTATTCTGTGGATAAAAAAAAAAAACAGTTCAGGATGAACTTCTCTGGGAATTCCTTCTGTTACTCATGGGACTCAGTTACACTTTCTCAGCAAATGCACTAGGAAGGATGGTAAGAGAGCATTTCATTCAAGGATCCAGATCAATAAAAACTAAATAACCATAATTCTTAATAAATAACAAAAGAAATGGATAGCTTCA